ATATCCAACCGAACCACTCAATAAGCACCCTACCGAAACCACTAGTGTTTTGTTGCATAAAAATAACAAAGCTAAAGTTTGTAACTATAATATACTTTAATTTTTTTTATTGAGTATTGAACAAATCTGAATCTGGAAATTAGAGAATACAAGAACTCAAGAAAGGAAGAAGAACAGAGAGAATCGATTTGGGAATTTTTATCTGTATTGAAGTTTTATTGAAGTTGTATTTATACAAGTTACTTACAAGTATATATATACACTTTTCATCTAACTAACTATGCTGCCAGCTGGCTAACTAACTTTACAACTCATTATCCAACTAACTTTACATATCACTAACCAACTAATTTAGTGATTCTAACTAAGCAAACTTGTACTGCTTTATTGTTTATGTTACACCTGAATTCTCAATAAGTATCAAACTATATATAATACTTGTGTGAGGCGTTTTATAGATTGACATGTGGAGGGGTTAAGTTCATAAATGTTCCTTATATGAGCTGGTGTTTGTAATAAATTTTTTCAAATAGGAAAATATACTGCAATCACAAAATAAATAAGAAGAATAATATTATTTATCAAAATTATAAGTACAAATATGTTGATCCCTTGATTCTTCCGTTATAAGATTTATCTATGATTCGAGGGTTGTAGTGACATATTTCTCAGATTAAAATGTTTGGATTTGATATCTTTGTGAATATTACCTGAATTTGCGGAATATTCGAGATGAATATAATACACCTTACAGAGGCATGAACTAAGGTTTGGAGTTGAGTAGCTCTCAACAATCCCAAGAGGAATCAAACACGTTTTGTAGAGTCCCATAAACTTTCAATGTCTACAAATGCCCTGCCCTGCTTCAAGGCTTGTCGAGTGTAGACCTGATCAAACTAATAGACGAGGCTTGAAATACTCATTCTTCCACCTTTGCGATTTTGTGGCATCAGATTTAAAGCTTTGATTTGTAGTGAGAAAAGAGATGAAGGACAAATCTAGTCCCATTGACTATGTCAATTTGTTTGCGACAAATTTTCTCAAGTATGAAAATATACTACAATCACAAAATAAATAAGAATAAAAATATTATTCATCAAGATTGTGAGCACAAATCTGATCTTGATATTTTGTTCCCCATAAGAAAATCTTGTAAAAATAAGCTAAAAAAGAACAAAGAAAACCTCCATTCGTTTAACAAAATTTTCATGAGCAAAATTGTCCCCCAAACCTAATCAATTAAAGAAATGGAACTAAAAAAAATCATTTTTTTCCTCTACGTTCTTTCTTTCTTATTCTTTTTATTTTCGTTTTTTTGTCTTTTGTCTTTTCTTCCTTCTTTTTCTTATTTTTTGTCTTCCCCTTCTTCTTTTTTCTTTCTTTTTCCTTTTTTGTTTTTTTCTTTATTACTTTTTTTTCAATTTTTTCCCTCTTTTCCTTTTTCTTTATTCTCTTTGTATACAAGTTATGTTTCATGGGCAAAAGTTGATACTATGTCTTGATTTATGAGATGGTCTATAATTCTTGTCTTAAAGAACATAATTTCAAAACAATAAATTATTCCTCGTGAGAAAGATTTGATATTATCATATTGTGTCTTAATTTATCAGATGTTCTTTAATTCCTACCTTAGATGTACTACCTAACCCAAATACTTTCAAAGAACACATTACATACCATGGACAAGATATCTTGATTTATGAGACACTCATAACTATACCAAGAACTTCAAAACAACAAGTTACGCCCCATGGGTAAGACTTACACTGTCATATTGTGTATTTGATTTATGAGATGCTTTATAACTCTTGCCTCTAAGGCAAAAGTTAGACCAAAAGCTTCAAAACAACAAGTTACGCATCATGGGCATAAATGAACCAAACTTTAAACAGATGACATAAATGAGCCTTTTCTTCTCGTTCGATGACATTTTGAGCTTTTTCCTTTTTAAAAATGATTTAATTAATGATGTGGACGAATCATAATTAACCACGTGTAACAAATGATTTTGCAAAATGAAATTTTTTTCAGTTAATAAATAATGGCATAGATGAGCCTATTCTCAAACAAAAATGACATAGATAAACCAAACTCTAAAAAAATGACATAAATGAGTCTTTTCTCAAAGTTCGATGACATATTTGAGCTTTTTCCCTTTGTTTTAATGGGATTGTAGGTTTAGTTTGGTGACATGGACCACTAACAAGAGGCCACGTGACAAAGTTCTTTTTACAAATTGATCATTGAAAACTAATGGTATAAATGCACATGTTTTATAATGACGATGATATAAATGAGCCAATTTTTTTACCGACAAAGAAATAAGTCATTTCTAAAATTAGTTTCTATATTATGACATAGAAGTTAAGTTATCATTATTAATTGTCACTCCTACAATCTTGTAATACTACTTTTGTCTAAAAAATATCTTGTAAAGTACTACTTTTGTCTAAAAAATTATTTATGATGATTGATGAGCACTTGCTTCCCGTCTAGCATCTTGTTTCTCAAGGACCACTTGGATTGCAGAGAACATACTTGAAAGCCTTTGAAACTCATTTTGAAAATTGAAATGCAATGCAAGTTCTCCTTTGAGAAAAGAAGTGAGATTGTCTAGCACAACTTGAAGGAAAGCTTCTTGTCATATAACTTAATTAGTTTTAGATAATATTTATGTCCCTTAATTTTTGGTGTATAAAAGAAACACTTAAATTTATATAAAGTTAAATAAGTAGACACGTCACCCTATGTGACATAATACACGTTTATGAATTATGTGTTGGTGCATTTGAGGGAAACTACTGCACATGGCCATGGGGTCATGTAAAGCTTTCATTGCTGCCCACCACAAAGACTTTTCTTTGTCAAAGTCTTCCACAGAACCATAAGACACAGCTTTCTGCAGTACTGCTAGCTCATTCCGTGTATTTTCTTTCCCTTATTGATTGCCCACAGCTGCCCACCACCTACATTTTTCTTGTGTGGTAGTTGAATATTCATTTCTTTTAGCGGTCGTTTGGTAGGCCATATTAAAATAAATAATCTATATATTATGTATGGTATTATTTAGTACTATGTTTGATAGGAATTTGGGACTATATATAACTAATCTATGGATTAGTTATATCTCCTACATGGTATTATAGGGTGTATTACTAATACCTTTCATTTGGAGGTATTAGTAATACATTGGATATAATATCATGAGATAAGTCTATGTAAAGACAAAAATATCTCTCAAATCATTTTAATTATTTTGTTTATTTTTTTGATTATATGTTTTATATTTGTACTATTAAATTTATTTAAATAAATTAGCTTACAAATTATTTCGAGAAAGTTGTTTGTTACTACATAAATCCAACACAAATTAATACAATATTTGAAATGTGAGTTG